CATAACACAAACCCCTCGTCAACTATGGTCGGGATGCTATGGCTTGGGTTCAGCTGTCAATCAAATAATTCATTATATTTTCTAATTTTTAAGAGTTTTTATAAACTATTCATAAGTTAACAGTTTTACAACTAGTTTGGAGACTATATCTGGAAAATTACTTGAGATTAGTTTTTATCAATTTATTTGTATTTATATTCTTTTATATACTACTGTATTATTATATAACTTATTGTGACATACCTTAAGAAAGTCAGGATTGAACTGTTGTCCAGCGCCGGGATCTATGGGAATGATATTCAACTCAATGTTCAGTTCTCTGGCAGTCATGAGAACAGATCGACAGAAGGGACTGACATGAAAGGAGTAGATGTCAATCGATGGCATTTCCGGTCAATTCACGTATAAAACAACTGATTTTTCTAAGAAATTCTGTCACAATTAGTAAACATTCAGTAGTGAAGTGGTAAAGAATATGCAATTTTTGCCATTTATATCGTTATATAACTTATATCGCTATGCAATTCATTCAAATTCAAGGTTGTTTAGTGCAAGTACTCATAGGATTGCCAACGGTTTTGTTTTAGAGACATATTATGACATAATAATTATGTTAATACTAGATTTTAAATTGAACACAGCCCATTTTGCAAATTTATGACCCTGTCCAACCATTTTAAAAGTAATTTTAGACACAAATAGTTGATAACTTTATTAAAGAGTTATTGGTTTTCTTTTATTAAACATTGAAATATTAAAGAATTCCTGAATTGTGTGAACACTACAGACAAACAGACAGTTTTACTTTTATTTGTCTGGGCGTATGGGGTAGTCGTGTTTACTATGTCAGCCCTTAAGGTCACTTCAATATATTATACGAGTAAATGTAATTGGTTGTTATTTTAGAATTTAATTTTAAAATGTAATTGTTCATTTCTTATTCATTGATATTCAAAATATCCATCTGTAATGACAAGCATTTTTAAAATGATTTTTATTTGATTATTAATACAGTAAAGTTATAATTAATGTTGCAAATATAATAAATCTAAACAATGATTCGTATAATTAAAATGTGATTTCAAATATTGCTAAAATATTCTTACTTGTTAACTCATTTTTATAAAGTACTTTAATTTGTTAACTTTTATAAATTTAACAGAATACTCACTATAATTATAAAACAAATTATTATAATGCAAACACATATTAGAATAGTATACTAATTAAAATTTTAATATAATTCCCGAAACACCAATAATATTAATTCTTGTGATAATTATATCATTTAATAATAGCATCATGCATAATAAAACTCATTTTATTTAAATATTAAAGCAAAAATTAATATATAATATTACATTTAATATCTGGAATTCATTTGATATAATAAGTTTACTTTTTGGGGGCATATCTGGCTCTAGCCTTCTCGACCAAAGCCTCCCGTTCCTCCTTCGAGAAGGTATTGATTTCATCGAAATACGGCAATTCCTTCTGAACAGTGGTATACCAGCGCTTATAGTTCGTGAATTCGCTTATATCCAGTTCCGCCCAATCCAGGTATGTGCCGGTGGCTAACAGTGACAGGTCAGCGATTGTCAACTGATTCCCCGTCACGTAATGATTTGCACCAATGATTTGGTCCAAAACCTTCAGATTATTCTTCAAGTTTGTCACTTTATCTTCAGGCGGATCCACTCCAGCAAACATTTTAGCCCTCTATTCAATAATACTTATAGTAATTGTCATTAAGAAGTAGATGAATGAGTGGTTTACCATAATTTCCCCAATTTGTGGGCCCAAACCCATATCGATGTTGAGGGACCGGTCGACCAGAGCTCGCTTTTTAGGGTCTCGAGGGTAGAGCTGACTGTCCGGTGCGTAT